AGACTTTTTTTTACAACCAGGGTAAATAATATTAAATTATTTACACCTGTGGTTTTTCGCAGAAACGTCTTTTATTTGTTTATTACGTGAATTCCAAGTATAGACTTTTTTTTACAACCAGGGTAAATAATATTAAATTATTTACACCTGTGGTTTTTCGCAGAAACGTCTTTTATTTGTTTATTACGTGAATTCCAAGTATAGACTTTTTTTTACAACCAGGGTAAATAATATTAAATTATTTACACCTGTGGTTTTTCGCAGAAACGTCTTTTATTTGTTTATTACGTGAATTCCAAGTATAGACTTTTTTTTAAGAACCAGGGTAAATAATATTAAATTATTTACACCTGTGTTTTTTCTCAGAAACGTCTTTTATTTGTTTATCCATAAAAAAAAAGAGTTGTGTACGTTATATTAAAACTAATTTGATTATGCACATCAGCAAGTCACTTGATAACAACAGCCAATATAAAGTCGCAGTGGATCTGAATGTATTTAAACTACAATTTTGCGTTGTAGATAGTGTTATACCACAGAAAATCGATATTGGAGTGTGTAACGGCCCTTTCCGACCAAAGATATTCATACACACAGATCATAAAGATATGTTTAAATCAGAGCTTTGGAATTCCCAAGACAGATATTTTTTCTACTTAATAGCATTTGAAAACAAAGGAGTATGGATCAACATGAGGCACCAGTATCACCCAGAAAAAGGCCTCGAACAAGTCGTACCAAAGCCGAGGTAAGCAAAGTATGACGTCTTGCAACATACGAGAATGCACGAACAAAAAGGTCATTCGTAAAGCTGTCCACGTTCCTCAGACAAAATTACGTAACAAAATCAAAAATTTTCTCCAACTGAAAAAGCGACACAAGGCACATTTACACAAGTTGCTTCCATAATATATCCATTCAACTGTCGCATATCTTAAGCAGCTTTAAAATGAAACAAGTATTCACGTACGGAAGACATACTATAGATATCTGTGGGATCGGACCGTTGAAACAAACACTGGGAACTGTTGTCTTTCAACACTAGATTGAATATGGAAAGCCTGTGCTATGGACATTACTGTGTTAAACGGAATCTTTTGCCATGAAAACTACGCTGCAGGGCTATTGTCAAGATGCATGATTGTCAGATAGAGTATGACCAGCCGTGGCAACATGGAATTTAAGGACATTGTGATATAGCATACTCAACTCTTGTATACTAGATATAGTATCCTAGTATATCCATAGCTTACATGCCAAAGAAGTGTAACTCGTAAGTTATCATTAATTAAACAAGTCAATACAATTTATTAAAATGTTTTTATTAAAGGTATTCAGACGAAGATTTATTAATATCCCCCCCCCCAAAAAAAATATAACAAAACGAATTTTTACCAGAAATAACGTTTTTTGGGACGTTTAATAAATTTATTTTTTGCTCTTTCTAACAGTTGGCTGCTAATGGGGTGACGTTTTTGTCTGTCAACATGGTTGGTTTCTTCGTACACAGACTAGTAGAACATGGACAAAGGAAGGCCTTTCTCGACACCCGTAACTGTATTAACGCCAGGTTGGAAATGGAGGACGAGAACGAAAAACTGGTCAGTAGATGGCTCTGGTGGACTAAATTTAAATTATTTATAGTTCACTAAACATTTGCAAGTTGTTAATTTTGTTTGTATCATTGTTGTTAATTTACATATATATTTATAAAGTAGAGCGTATCACCAAGTATAAGTAAAATTTCTACTCCGGGTCTGAAACACACAGAAATTTAAAGGACAAAATAGTCCCAGAATAAGTTTCTCGTTTTCTCTTTATATTTCGGTATTACGGACAAGATGGTAATTTTGTTTATATTGCTGTTATTAATTTACACATATTTATAGAATGTATCTTCAAATATAAGTAAATTTCTACTCCTGTCCTGAAACACGCAAAGAAAAAAAAAAAAAAAATGTCCC